ACATGTCCCTGTCTCTTTCCATCCCATCAGCCAGACCTGGTGGCACCTACCAACCAAAGTTCCACCCACTAGTTAAGGAGAACTGCACTGCTCTGCACTGCTAGCACTCACTTGGATCAGGACATGCCAGTCCCTCCAGCTCTCTGACTGGCCAGGCCTTGACAGGCCTCCCCCAGCAGCTCCCCACATGCCTCAGGAGCCCTTTCTGCAGTGTGCAGACTCTGTCAAGGGGCACAAGGGGGGTGGTGCAGTGGGACTGGCACCATCGGGCAGCCTGTTGTCGCCCAGGCCTGCCAGCACCCACTCTGGGTCCAGGGACTCCTAGGAGCGCACTGGCCCAGTGCTGCAGCCTGTCTGACAGGTGACCTCTAGGGAGCTTGGACACTTGAGGAGCTTGCACCTCTAAGTCAGGAAGACAATAATCCCCAAGCATCTGCTCAGGGCTCAGAGCAGAGCAGGGGTCTAGCCTGTGGCAGGGGCGTCCACAGTTTGCCACAGATCTGCAAGTCAGGGAGGACAGCTGCCCACACAGGTTGTACCAAATATTCCATCCCATCTGTCCCTGCAGGCTTGGGCTCATTCTTCAGTTTCTCCTTTTCAAGCTGCTCCAGCATCTCCAAGCCCTGGCCTGGGATGCGAGCTCTGAGCTAACACCCTGGCAGGAGCCCCTAAGCCCCCACACGGTCAGAAGGACAAGGGAAAGCCCGCAGGGAGGTCCGCTAGCTCCAGAGCCTTTCCAGGCTGGAAAGCTACAAGACTGGGAGGCATCCTGAAAGGTGGTAATTGGAGCCGAGCGCAGGGGTCTCGGGAGAGGACAGCTTCAACTTCCCCGCGAAAGCATGTGCAACACATGGGTGTCACTCAGCAGATGACACAGACCCTGGCAAGGACCCAGGGAGAGGTGAGCTCGGTTCATGCCGGGAAGTGGCCAGAAAACCAAGAGGGCAGGTCTGGGAGATACACAACCACCATCTGCCTGCCTGGTGTGTGGTGAGGGTGTGGCCCACCCTGTGGGAGGCAGCGGCCTTATTACAGTGCCCTTCTGACGACTCAGAGAGGGAGACGCACCGGCTGGCTGAGGTCATACACGGTCTCTTCGTTCCACCCCCAGGTCGCTTCTCTGGGCTGAGCAGCTCTGGCCTTGCCGACCGCGACCCGCTCACCTCCAAGGGAGGCCACCTGGGTCCCGGGGCGAGTCATGCTGCAGGCACACCCCGACTTCCCCAAAAGGCTTTGCATGCCTTGTAGGGGTGGAAGTCGGAGACCCGTCCCATACATCAGAGAAGCTGCGGCCCCCAGACCCCAAGGTGAGGCTGGTGCATCAGGACTCGTTCCTGATCCTGTCCTCTCAGGTTTTCTTGCGGGAGCGTCACTGCTGCCAATTCTGCCGGGATGCGCACGGTGTCCAGCAACGTCCCCCTGCTCTTCAACAGCTGCAGGGAAACCCTGAGCGGGGCTGGTGGAGGTCCTGAGCTGGCTGAGGGGCTCAGCTGCCCGCCCACCACCCAGGGTGGGGCGCACATCTGCTCAGGTTTCCTGGGCCAGTGGCACACTCTGAGAGCAAGTCTGGGCTCCGACACTGCTTGAGCCCAGCCAGCCCGCTCCTCCCCCTCCTCTCCTGCTCACCGCTGGCCCATGGACCGTAGGCCTCAATGCCGCACACACCTCATCCCCCCCAAAGGTGACCTTCAGGTGCCTACCCCGCCTGCCACCACTTGCGGGAGAGGCAGGGGCACGAGGCTTTCTTCTTAGGAGAGTGACTTAAAAGACAAAAGAAGAAAGAGAGGGCATAGGGATCACATTTATGTAGTCGAAGGGCTTGTTTGTAGGGAAAATGAGTGATGTGTCTTGGACAGCCTGAGGCCCAGGCGGGGCTCTGGCTCCCTCACCTTCCCAGCCAAGATGCCTGGTGCCTACTTCACCGAGACCCCTAGCCCACCCCTCCTGACCCAGGGGCCAGCATCACTGTCCCTTTAGAAGCCCTGGTGCTTGCTCTAGGCTGAGCAGATGGCCTCCTCTGAGGACTGCCGCTGACTTGCAGCATGCTGGCTCAGCTGGGACACTGCAAAGAGGGCAGGAGGGTGGGGCTGGGCCTGGGCGCTCAACCTGAGAAGGGCCCAGATCTTGGTGCCTCCCCTAGGGAGGGCTGTGGAGGCTGCTGGCTGTTGCTGTGGGTGCAGACTGTGTGGAGGTGGCAGGTTCTAAAGGAATCATGGGGGAGGGTTTCAGTCGTGAGAGGCAAGTGGCAGGCATGGGAGGAAGGTGGCTCAACCAGTCAGGGTGGCTGTGGAGGAGCAGGGCCTGGCCAGCAGGTGTGGGAGGAGGGGATGAGGAAGGAGCAGCTGCGGGATGCCTGGCCTGGGAGGGAGGGGGCAGGCGGAAGGGAGCCTACAATTTGGGGAGAAGCTGGGTGGGCAGTGCTTGGCGACGTCACTCCCATCGGATCCTTGCCAGTCACGGGTACTGCAGCAGGTGGCAGGGGCCTTGAAGTTGAAAGGGGAATCTTGCCACTTGGCAGACAGCTCTCCAGAGAAGAGAGGGCAGGCATCGGTACTCCACACTCCAGCCCGGCCCGGAGACGCGGCCCCGGCACTGCTCTCTCCCATGTCTTGCAAAGAGAGAAGAAAGACACAAGAGGGACCTTCTGGAATCTTCCATCACCTTGACCAACTCAGGCTTCCATGTTGGGCAAAGAGCCCACCTGTGATGAGACTAACTTGGGGGTCTTCTCCCAACCTCCAAATCTCCCACCATCTGGTTCCAAATTCTTCTTTCTCATAAAGGAAGTTAACAGCGAGCTTGGCCAGCTGGCAAGACAGCCCAGCGTGGGGCTTGGGCCGGAGGGCAGAGCCAAGTCATTGTTCTCAGGTTCAGGATGTTCTTCTTCCCCAAACAACCACGGGAACAGGAAGCCTGTGCACAGAAGTGGTGGCCCACGAGAAAACGGGAACCTCAGAAAGGCAAGGGTTCCCAGCAGCTCTGCTCTCTGCCCATGCCTGGCCAGGCTCCCACTGTCGCTTCTCTGTGGCCACAGAAGGCACATGGGGCCTGGGCCACTAGCCCTCCCCTGGGTCACAGGTGCAGCCACGGGTCTAGGAAGCTTGTGCAGAGCAGCACCTGGCAACCGAGCAGGACAGGACTCCCTGTCAGTGCGCCCGACTCCCTCAGTTGCCTGCGTGTGGCCTGGCTACTCGCTCGGGGCCCACATCACCAGTCGCCCTGGGGTTAGGAGAGACAGAATGCTTGCTGGCACAATTTGCTGAGCCCTGCCCACAGCTCCCACCGACTGCACCAGCAGGCTGCAGCTCTGAGGGTGCAGCCGGCTGCTCCCAGCCTTCAAGACGTCCCTCTCAAGGTGCTCAGCCCCTGAGCTACAGCCAGCAGCCTGTGGCAGGACGGTCCTCGGGTTGGCTCCCCCAGTACACTCACAGGGACCACTGTCCCATGATGAGCCCCCAGGAAGGAAACAGGCCTCGGCGACGTCTTCCTTCTCAGGTAAACCAGCTGAGAGCAGTTTCCTTCGTGCTCAACGGACCTGCTTTCTTCCCACTCCTCACAAGCGCCTCACACAGCGAGAGGCTCATTTTCTTAACTATATGAACATCCCCTGCGATGCTGGCCACGAAGCAGCCCACCTCCTGCTGTCACCTGGCTTCCAAGGCCACTAAGTGATACCGGCAAGAGAAGGTGTCCTCCGGGGAAGAACGAACAGAAGAGCAAAGTATGTGGTTTTTAGATGGACTGAAAATGAATGAAAACAGACACCTTTTAGCTTATAATCTTCACATGAAACAAAATTACCCTTGCAACTGACATGTTATAAACTGTACACAGGAGCTGCCTCTAGTTTTAAAAGTTCATAAATTCTTCAGTATTTGTTGGTACCTGCCAGAAAATAAAAACGCGATCGTGTGTGTTTTCAAGCTAATGCCTGAATAGGCTTCCTCACGTCTAGGCCGGTGCTAGCGTGCGTACACACATACAGAGACACACACGCACGCACACACAGCTGCTCTGGGGCAACTGGGCCAAGGCCGTGCTAGCACGTGAGTGCCTGAAGGAAATGCCAAACAGATTTCACTCCACGTGATGATCTCCCGAGAATCAAGCCATTCTTAGCCCCGCACGGCCCTGACGCTGGCTGCCTCTGGCACGGCCTCACCTCAAGCAGGCATTAGCAGTCCAGGCAGCTCTTGTCTCAGCTGCCTCAGAGGGCATGGCTGTGGGCACAGGCCAGCCACCACAAGTCTGCCCTGTGGGACCAGCCTCGGGTGGGAAGGCTCGGCGTGCATGGCCAGCCCGGCTCTTCTTGCCCTGTGGATGTGACAGTCCTGTACGGGGCAATGGGAGCGTGCATGGGGACGCCGTGGAGTGCACACCTCCTGCTCTGTTTTCTGGCCCCGCCTGCCTGCGCCTCAAAGAGCTCTCTGTGCTCAGAGCTGAGTGAGCACAGCCAGGACTTCTCTCTATGGTAGACGTTCGGTGAGGTCCAACTATTTTGTCCTCAGTCTACAGACAAATGACTATTTGTTTATTTCCTCAAGGAACACAGAACTTTGTAGTTGAATGTCTCAGACTCAGTGAGCGTCAGGGCCCGGGGCAAGTCCCTGCCCGACCTGCCTCCAGGGTCCCTGTGGGACGCTAGTGCCCCGTGAGCAGGGGCGGCAGGAAGACACCGCCTCTACCTTGAACTCAGCCAGGCCTAGGAACCGGAATGCTGGTGAAGGCCCAGGCGAGAGAACTGCACAAGCCTGAACCCCAGCTGCCCATCCAAGCACAAGCTGGAAACTGACTGTAAACAGAGAGAGGGTGGGGCCACGGCGCCTGCCAAAGGAGGCAGAGACTTGTAAGTAATTTACTAGGGAAAAACAAGCAGCGTGCTTGCAGGCCAGCTGCACATGCCGGTGTCCTGTACACAGGCATAGAGGGCTCGATGGCACGGGGCAGCTGAGGAGACCATGGATGTATTCCATGGTCTGGACAGCCCTGTGTTCCAGCGGTTGCCTCGGCCCAGTGATGCAGCTCCCTGACAGGGTCTGGAGTCCATGGCACAGAGAAATGCGAGACAATAAATAGAGGTAAGTGTTCAACAGCAGGTGTACCCAGTGGTGGCTGAGAGCTGGCTGGGCAGGAGGGCAGACACTGTGGGAGAGGGGGCTCCATGTGATCTGCTGCCCACAGGCAGCTTTACATGGCAGAGAAAAAGGGCTGAGCCAGAGCAGAACTGAGAAGGACCCGGGCCTTGAGCAAGATCTGTTGGGTGAAGGCAATGTGGCCAGTCCGTGGCCTTCTCGTAGATAAGCTCAAGGACACAGTGCTAGTCACGTGGCATGAGGGCCCTTCCTCTTCAGAGGAACTTGCAGACCTCACAGTCCTTGTCCCCATAGTAAAACACAAATCCTGGGGTCCTTGGGAACCATGTAAGGCCAGGCCAGTGGCAGTGTGGCCGGAGCAAGCACAAGGTACTCTGGAGTGGAGACACTCAGCTCACTGGCACCCACTTGCGGTGGCCCCGGGATGCACTATGTTTCCTGGGGACTTGCGGCCAGTGGGGTCTAGCAGATGCTGCCCTGAACTGTGGGTTTCTGCTCAGTCTCCAGTGACCAAAGCTAGGCAGGGGCTGAGGTGGGGGAGAGATGCCGCCATGGAGGCTGTTCTGCAGCCAAGATTGGAGGGAAGGCTATGGAGCAGGCCGGAGAAACCCAACGGCCTGACCCACGCCACCCTGGTTCAGCTAAGAGGGACAGGGCAGTCGCCCTACCCGGCTCTTGGAAGGCAGCGCTCCTGATGTTCCTGTCGGTGCTCGTGCTGTCCCCTGGGAGGGAGCAGCCCCTCGAGCGGATGGTCCCGGCAGAGGCTTCCTGCCCAGCCTGGGAGGCACTAGCCAAGACATGTTCGTGAAAGGACGGACGTGCCGGCGGGTGAGCAGCAGCTGCCTGGATTTCAGAACGAGGTCCCCGGTGCGAAGAACAAACACTTCCTGGGAGTGATGGGATTGGCACACATGGCTGGGCGGGCCTGGCAGTGGCCTGACTCCGAGCACCGTCAGAAGCTCAGTCATCTCAGCTGCCAGGTGGCGTTCATCAGGATTGAACAACGGCCGCACTCGAGTCCCTCCCATCCCGTCTGAGGGCTGTGGCCACCCATCTGAAGAGGAAATGCTGCCCTCTGCCCACCCACCTCTGCTGTGCGCTAGGGATGTGTGCGGCACTGCTGGCACTGGGAGAGTCGCCACCATGGAACAGAGCTAATGCTCTGGACTCTTGGACTCTTCCGCGGTCTTCATCATGAGCTTCCCTCTCTGGCCCCCGCCCCACCCCCGGTCCCATGTGTACCATGGGTCTCGTGGTGGCGGGACGTCCCTCCTGGCTCACCGCACAGCTCAGCACGGTAGCCAGTCGCCTGCCAGACGGGCAGTCCAGGTTGCAGGGCAAGCAGCATGGAGGAGGCCAGACCTCTGCACGCATCACAGGCCTCCTCGTTCGTTCCTGTGCAGGAACACGTGTCCCTGCAGCTCTCACACCGCTTTCTGTGTTACTCCAGAGCAGGAGGGCTGGCAGGCCAGACTACCACGTGAATGTGAGGCTCTCCCGAGAAACAGAACTCCTGAAGCACGCTTACTACGGAAGGAGGGAATTGCTTCTTTAGGTCCCGGTTCCACCTGCCAATTTCCCCTTCAGTTCCATCAAGGATAGCTGTGTTCCCAGAGTCTCCCTTGGGTTACAACCAACAGCCACTCTGTCTTGAACCACCTGGTGGGAGGTAGGGAAGCACGATACCATCCATCCCTCAGTGCCGGCAAGATCCAAGTACCCACAGGCACAAGGCAAACCTCAGGTATCTCAGGAGTAGGACTATCCAAGCAGGTCAGCGCAGGCACCAGGCTTCATGGCAACCCTGTGGAGTGTAGGCTATGAGCGCACACGGTGCACTGGGCTCCCTCCTCTGGAGAAAGTATGGGCTTTCTCCAGAGGGGCAGCCCTTCCAGCTCGGCCTGTGTCATACCAGAGCTTCTGCTCATGCACCGCCCACGTGTCTGCTTCATAAGGTTCCCATGGGCCACCGCACTCACCTTCCTGCTCTGCTCAGTGGCTACACGGGCAGATGTGTCCTGTGTTCCACCCAATTATGGCTGCAGAGGCCACACCAGGCAGGTGCTCAGCACATGCCAGTTATAAGGGAGCCAGGCGGGGACAACTAATGGTGCAGGGGAGGCTAGAGCACCCACTGCTGACAGGTGGCATAGGGGGTTCTGGCCCCAAAGAGCCCAAAGCCAGGAGGACAAGTGAGCCAGAGAAATTCCCCACCCTGCCAGGGGCTGCGGAGGAGCATGGGCAGGTCAGGCTGGCCTGGACACAGGAGTGGACGCAAGGCACTCACTGGACAGTGTTTGGTTTGCAGGAGCTTCCTGGACACATCATCCACAACAGCAGGTCCTTGGATACCAGCGCTACAGGCAACATCACGTCATTGTAGTGTTGATGGGGGAAAAAATCAATTGCCAGCCAGGAGCACCGTCTGTGTGAAGTCTGCACATTCTCCTGGCATCTGTGTGGGTTTCCTCCCACACCCCAAGGACACATACATTAGGATCACTGGCATGCCCACATGGTCCTTCGTGAGTAAGTGCGTGTGAGTCCCTGTGCTGGGATGATGGCCTGGCCAGGGGCGGTAACCACCTTGCACCTGAGCTCTGGACACCCACGACCTTGAACTGGAATCCACAGATTGGAAAATAAACAAACGGATGTAAATTATTTTAAAAATGGAAACCTGTGACGTCTATGATAATCATACAAACGCAGAACAATAAAAAATGCAGACAAAAGCGCTCGCTGAGCCACCACTTTTTGCTCTTGTTGGATTGTGAACTGTGGTGGGAGGAAGGGCTCCTGATGGTTTTCACTTTGCAAACATTTATTCCTGGACTTAACCATCCCCGCCACTGCTGACCCTCACTGAGTCACCAAAAATCGGGTAAATAGTGAACTTACTGGGTTTTTTTTGTGTTTTTTTTTTACTCTGTCTTGCATGTGTCTGTAGCTCAGGGTCTAACACTAGACGTGTTCTGCATCTCTACAGAGAAGTTTGGTGATATTTTGTGACCGGACAAATGCTGTGGGAACGCAACCCTTGTTTATGTCAGTTACGTGTGATGAACTTGGTTTCATTGTGTGTCATTTCACTTGAAGTCACAGTTTCCAAGAACCTGCCAGACTTAGTTAAGTGAGGAAAAACAGGATCAGGGAGCCTCACCATGGCTGCTGAAATTACCGTGGAAAACATGTACTCATCTGGTCAGACACCTTGGCCTCAGTGTCTGACCCCTTGCTGTGAAGGTGCCTCCCAGTGTTTCTGAGTTCTCCAGTCGATGCCCCGGGAAGGACATGCACTGACCCCTGCTCCTTCTCTCCACAGGGTCACGGAGGCTTGCTGGCCACCATGTGGGACTGTGACTGGCTCAACATGACAGGCCAGGCCGAGGAGCCGCCTGCCTGCCAGGACCTGCAGCTTGGGCTGTCCGTGCTGTCGTTGCTGTGCCTGGTGGCGGGTGTCCCCGTGGGCCTGTGCTACAACGCCCTGCTGGTGCTGGCCAACCTGCTCAGCAAGAGCAGCATGACCATGCCAGACGTGTACTTCGTCAACATGGCTGTGGCGGGCCTGGTGCTTGGCGCCCTGGCTCCCGTGCACCTGCTCAGCCCCCCCGGCTCCAGGTGGGCCCTGTGGAGCGTGGGCCACGAGGTCCACATTGCACTGCTGATCCCATTCAACGTGTCCTCCCTGGTGACCATGTACTCCACTGCCCTACTCAGCCTCGACCACTACATCGAGCGGGCACTGCCACGGACCTACATGGCCAGCGTGTACAACACCCGGCACGTGTGCGGCTTTGTGTGGGGCGGGGCCTTGCTGACCAGCTTCTCCTCTCTGCTCTTCTACATCTGCAGCCACGTGTCCTCCCGGGTCCTGGAGTGCGCCAAGATGCAGAACACAGAGGCTGCCGATGCCATCCTGGTGTTCATCGGCTACGCAGTGCCAGCGCTGGCCGCCCTGTATGCACTGGTGCTCCTCGCAAGGATCCGCAGGGAGGACACGCCCCTTGACCAGGACGCAGGGCGGCTGGAGCCATCAGCGCATCGGCTGCTGGTGGCCACTGTGTGCACACAGTTTGGGCTCTGGACGCCTCACTACCTGACGCTCCTGGGGCACACAGTCCTTGTGTCACAAGGGAAGCCCGTGGACACACACTACCTGGGGCTGGTGCACTTTGCAAAAGACGTATCAAAGTTCTTGGCCTTCTCGAGCAGCTTTGTGATGCCGCTTCTGTACCGCTACATGAACAAAACCTTCCCCAGCAAGCTCCGGCGGCTCATGAAGAAGATGCACTGTGGGCACCGGCACTGTGCCCAGGACCACGCGGGGGTCCAGCAGGTGCTCACATAGGTGGCAGTGCAGCCCAGCTCCCTTGGGAGTCAGTGATGTTCTCAAGATCCTGGTCCTTCCCACCCAGGATAAGCGGAAGTCCCGATGGATGCAGAGCACTTTGTAACCGTGGACATGCCGTGCCTCCCTCCCTAGAGAGATGCACTGATGTGAGGATAGCACAGGGTATTCCTGGAGTTTTCTGTGTCTTCCCCAAAAGGCCACTCTTGGGGAAAGGCCATGGCCACAGCCAGAGGTGTCTGGCGGGAAGCACCAGCACGTTCCTGTCGACTCGCGCCTGTGTGCCTCCTACACACCTTTGTGGTCCCTGGTCCTCGGAATGCGTCTGCCATGGTTCGTTGCCACTGGGCTTCAACATGAAGTGATGAAAACCTAATGCCAGTATTTACACCTTGTTTGTTATATTGTTAAGACATCTGATCCCTCCTCGCTTTTTGTTTTATAAGATGTCTGATAGAAAAATGACAGGTATTAAAATGAAGGACACACTCAAAGAAACACTGACCTGTGGCCGGGCGCTGGTGGGGCCCTATTGCGTGTGCCATCATGCCCACTCAAGCTCTTGTAACAGTTCCCAGAAATGCCTGAGGCATGGCTGGCTTAAACAGGATAGTTCACTGGCACTGACGCTCTCTCCCTAGCCACCAAATGTCCTTGACCCCTCTGCCCCCCCTCAGATAACACCCACCGAATTTTTCTCAGTGTGCATCTGTCCTAAATCAACTCCCCAAAGTGTGCACAAAACTAGAGTATAAATAAATGAAGAAAGAAAAATGCTGTTAGGATTTCTGACTTAATACCAAAGCTCAAAGGGGCGAGAACGGATGTCTAGTGAAGTGTCACCAGAAGTCTTGAGGGAGGAACAGGACGCAGTCTAAAGCAGGGCTACCCAAGAGGCCCAGGAGCGGCCTGTTCCACCAAAAGCTGCCCTCCCTCATGCCAGGCACAGAGGCACCTCCGACCTTGCTATAGACCCTGGCTGTCCCAGCATGTTGCAGACATCTACTTCAAAATGTGGACAAGAGAAGAGCCCCCATTCCTCACACCATCTGCTCACCTCTACCCCTATTTTCTAGAATTAAGTTATGGGTCCACAATCCCCTAGGCCCCAATTTTTCTATTTTGATGGGGGGGGCATGTACAGGTTTCTTACATAGGAATATTGCATGATGGTGAGGCTAGGGGTGCCACTGAACCCAACATGGCAGTAGTTCTAGTTTCTGATGCCAAAATCCAGAAAGCTCTGGAAACAGGAAGATATGTTTCTCCAAGTTGGCAGCAGTCCCTGACCTGAAGTGCGTGGGCCATGAGGCCACCCTGACCCAGCATTTCTACAGGAGGGTGAGTGTGGCTGTGGGGGACCACCCCAGGTCACTGTGTTCTGTAACACACACGTTTCCTTGTGACACTCTGAAAATCTGAATCCTGAAACAGACCTGGCCCTGAGGACAGACAGGGGCTCTGTTCTTTGTGGCCGTTGACACAGGGACATTACACTCTGTTTCCTTGGGAAATTCAGCCACAAGTTAGTTGTATTATTGAATGTGGGCAAACTGTGTCTCCCCAGAGCACGGCATGATGGGACAAGCGTTCGCCTCGTGAACTGCAAACACACACTGGGCGCTATGGCTCCCGGGCCAATGTCTGCCCTTGGGAGCTGGGAGCCTAGTACACTGGAACAGGTCTATGGAACCCTTTCTCAATCCGCTGGAACAGAGAACTGTTTTCTGAGTGGCTTCTGCTGGTTTTTTGTTTCAGGCATGCCAGAGTCTTGTTCAAGCCTTTATGGCGGTGCAGGTCGACCTCTATCTTGCTTCTCAAGCACAGAGCAGAGACGGAGAGGTGGTGTCTCAGGACAGTTGTGGGGGTTCCATCTCCCCGGTTGTGCTGTAAAACCACAAAGTTCTGCACGGAGACGACGACATGAGCCTGCAGATTCTGGCCAGCCCACACACAGCAGCTGGTGCCTCATCATCTGTCACTCCCCTGCTAGGGTGAGCAGGACGGGGCGAAGGTCACGCCAAGGGCAGCCCTGCTCTCCAGGAGGCTGGTCTGTGGTGGAGGCCCTCTCCCTCATGGGTCCTCTCTACACACCCTTGGCTCCAGGCCCCACAGCATAGGTCAGGGGAGGCATGGCTCTGCCTCTGCCCCAGAATTCCTCCATCCAGCAGGTCTCCCCCAAGCTAAAGAGTAAGGGTCCTAATGTTTTTTTGAACTTCTCAGTAACTTTGGGTACAAACTGGCTAATTTCTGGGGGCCTGCTGGGGAGACTGGGAGAGTCCCTGAGGCCTCATCATCAGCATGCATTTCCACACCCCACTCTGCTCTGCTGGTGATGGAGGGACCCCAGGGACACCCCACAACCTGGTCAGTACTTCCTGGTGGAACCACACGCAGGGCAAGCACAAGCCTCCAGGGCAGACCCCCCCTCCCCAAGACCCTCTCCCATGCTGGATGGCCACATCTCTGCCTCCCTCCTATTCACCCCAGTCTCCTACCAGCCTCTGCAGCTGCTCCCAGCAAACGACATGATCTACCCTTCCTAGGACACCTGCTCACCTGTGCCCTGTGCTGATGTCACCTCAGCATCTGACAGGCCTCCACACTGCTTCCCTCCCTGGGTATTTGATTCCCAATACTTTCGCCTTGCCACCAGAAAAAATGAGAAGAATTTGAGCTGCTCACAGGAGAATAAGGAGTTATTTGAAAAAAGCCAAAGTAGATTGGGAACTCAATCTTCCATTTCTTTCTTTTTTTTTTTTGAGTTGGAGTCTCACTCGGTCGCCCAGACTGGAGTGCAGTGGCCACTCCCGGCCACCGCAGCCTCGACCTGCCGCACTCCGGCGATCCTTCTGCCTCAGCCTTCCGAGTAGCCGGAATTACAGGCGCGCGCTACCACGCCCGGCTGATTTTTGATTTATTGTAGAGATGAGGTCTCGCTGCCTAGGTGGGTCACGAACCCGCGGGCTCAGGCCATCCACTCACCTCAGCCTCCCAAAGGCGCGGGATTACAGGCGGAGCCACTGAGCCCGGCAATCTTCTAGTTCTTCACAAGTTTGCAAGATACCAGGATGCAGGTTTTTAAAAGTTTTATGTTCAAGGATCATTAATTTTGCTTATTAACACTTCTTGACTATTCTAATTTTAAAAACTGATCATCTTGTGTTTGTTTATCCACAAAAAAGCCTTGCCAAGGTTCCAAAAAGTAAGTTTAATCTTGGATTAACTTCATTAAAGGTTATAAAATTTATTGTATGAAAGTGGATCTACTGCTAATTGTAGCAGATATATTAAGAAAGCAACAAACTTTTTTATAAAAAACATTTGACAAGGGATAAGCCAGGAATAAATTTAGGTGTTAATTACGGGTCAATTTACATTCTGTAATGTAAAACCAGTTGGTGGCCTTCTAATTTCTAGTTTACCTGAAGTGCTATGACTGTGAAAAAGAAGAAACTGCTGAAGAATATCTCATACATTTGAAGACTATTATTTGATATGTATTACCTAATTTCCGCATTCTTAAAACGTGCATTTCTAGGAATCTGTGATGTTCATCAGAAAACCAGCACAGAGGCACTTCAGGAAGCTGAGACAGGAGGACTGCTTAAGGCCAGGAGTCTAAGACCAGCCTGAGCAACATAGCGAGACCCCATCTTTACCAAAATTTTTTAATTAGCCAGGTTGAGTGGTACATATTTGTAGTCCCAGCTATTCAAGAGGCTGAGGCAGGAGGATCACTTGAGCCCAGTGGTCAAGACCACAGTGAGCTATGATGGTACCCCTACACTCCAGCCTGGAAGACAGAGCAAGACCCTGTCTCTAAAAACAAAAAACAGAAAGGAAGGGAGGGAGGGAGAAAGAAGGAAAGAAAAAGAAAGGAAAGAAAAAGAAAACCAGTAGAGAAAGTACCAAAAAGTGGTTATTTCCCCTCAAGTTACAAGTCTCATCTGTCAACACTTTCAGATACCTCTCTGCATGCAGTTCCTCCATATAGAAATCATATCAATGCAGTAAGCCAGAGGTCACTCAATTCCACACAGTCCTGCAGCTGCTCCAGACCAGTGAGTCTGGAGGGAACCTCTCCAGTACATTTAGAGAAGTCACCACTAAGGCTGGCAAAGGTCAGGCCTTACCACTACTGTAGATGTGACCCTCCCCAGAAAATATGAGTCAAATAATGTGACTGCACCTCAAGGGCCTCCAGAGTGTCTGGAGGGTCCGAGTGGCTAACTGAACAGCACAGAGCCTCCCGCAGGCCCAGAGTGTCTGGAGGGTCCGAGTGGCTCTCCTGAGGTTTCGGCAGATGTGGACATAGCTGCCCGGCTCCCCAACCTGCTGCAGCAGAGGCACCTCCGACCTTGCTCTAGAACCCTGGCTGTCCCGGCATGTTGCAGACATCTACTTCTGGCACTGCTCCGCACACAGGACGCACTCAGCCAAACTAGGACGTGAAGGAATGAGTGACTGTCTAGGAGTGAGACATCGTTTGAACATACCTATCTCGTGTTAATGTAGAATGCACAGCTTAAGAGCACTTAGGAGTGCGGGGTTCTTGAGTAAGCGCCTGGGGGCTGCCCTGTGCCCAGCCCTTCCCACAGCGATCCGTGCTGCAGCAGGCACAGCCCAGGACTGGGGTCGGAAGCACCGAATCCCAGCTGTGCTAACTGAAGATCAGAGAACCTCCCCGGTCCTTGTGTTGTTTTTAAGCTTTTAATGATGGAGTGGCCTGAGAGGAGGAAATGGGATGTACCCCCCCCAGCTCCTTCCCTAAGCATGGACACATGGCTAGGCTTGCCCCATCCGTGTCTCCCTTGACCCAGCTGGGAATGCACTGCTTTTATGGAACACCCTGGATTTTCATCACCAGGTTGAGGAGTCCCTCCTGGAACGTTCTTCCCCTACTGAACCCATGGTTTAGTAGCAGCCACAGGAAACTCCCTGCTCCTGGGGTCTTCACTCCTGCCTGCCAATGCTGATCATGCCTTCTGAAGCAACAGAGCCAGGACAGTCCGTTCCATGTGCTAGCCGCTAGCCCTCATGAAGTCCCACAGGGTGATCACGTTAATCTCAGAAGCAGCTGAGCGCCTGTGATGGACCAGGCACACCAGGAGGTGCACTCGAGACCTTCGGCCTCACCAAGGCCTGCAGGAGGCTCTGGGATGTTCGCTTAGCGGAGAGGAGACAGAGACTGCCGTGCCTGCTGCGCCGCTCGTGTGCGGCAGGGCCAGTGTGACTCAGGAGTGCCTGAGCCATCCTCTACCCTCTTCTCCAGGCTCCTCACCCTGCGTCTGACGGCGTCACTCCATGCCAACTCCTATCCTGTGCAACCACTCCGCTGGCCAAGAAGTGAGCTCAAGCAAAGCCTTGGGGTACACGCAGGAGGCATTCTGAAGACTGGGGAGGCCTGGGGTGGGGGAAGCCAGTGGGCATCCAGGAGACAGAACTGAGCTCTGACTTTTCTTCTAGTCCCGACCTAGGCTGTCTTCGCCGCTCTCCTACCTCATAATGTGTCCTAAGAGGTGAGTTCACCTTTGCCTGTTTGGGAGCTTACACCCTCTTTCTGCTGTCCAGTGCACTACAACGTCAACACATCACAGTCCACCTGCTCACACAGCTGCTGGTGGACACCAGGCTATTTCTGACTTCAGGCTTTGGTGACCAGCGTGGCCCCGTGTGTGCTGCCTCGGACTGCCGTGTCTCTCAGCGGCCACCACGTGCACAGCGCCCCCACCCCACCGTGGAGTGCGCCTCGGGGGCAGAGTCACCTTGGCCTA